AAAAAAAAAAAAAACGATAAAAGAAATAAAAACGTTGTAGTGGTTCACCCGATAGACTTACTTACTCTTGGATCAGTCATTAATAACTAGTTTCCTCCAATTCAGCGTTGACGTTAGAAAAAAAAAGAATTAATATTTTGCAAAATAAAAAGTATAATGCATCGGAGTCAACTGTAGAGACATAAAACCACAGGGAGAAAAAGTTAAGGGAATAATTTCTGAGCCCAAGATGATCTTCAGTTACTCTTGCGACTAAGCTAAGCGGCCACACGTGAGCGCGTCGACTCGGGGGAATTTTGTCATTGGAATGCTTTGGTTGGGAATGAACGTGTTGAGAGCCTTTCTATGACGAATTTAAACTACCTTTGAGTTTCACATACAAAAAAATAATAAAACTGACGTAAGAGCATGATTAGTTTTTGACGTTTTGCTGTGAATTTGGAACTGGCAGATATCAACTATTGTTTAACCTGATATATTAGAACCTCGATTTAACGAAACTCGATTTAACGTAGTCCTCGGTATAACGAACGATATTCCTCGCCCCCAGTAATAGTAAAATATATTGAAAAGAACCCCGATATAACGAAACCGCGTTGTAGCGAACATATATTGCCAGCCGTTTCATCGAGGTTTTACTGAGTCAGCGTACTTAAGCAAATATTTCAAGCTGTTGGCGATGCTTTTAAACCTCAAAAGCTTTTCAACTGCAGTTTTTTTCGTCTACAACATTAGCTTGCATGGAGGAAGTAAACAATATGTGCTGTACGGTACCTTTATTGAACATCCCTTACGATTCATTGCCGCATTCTGATGAATGTAATATTCTTGTGAACTGGTGATACTTTGATGCAAATGATTTAAATCCTCTCCATAGTATAAAGGAAACTCATTAATATTCTTTCCCTACGAGAAAGGATTTGTTTTCTGGAGCTCTCTTCGTCCTGTTTAAATAGCTGTTATTTCAGTTATCAGCGGTTTCACATGCAAACGAAGCGAAAAGGTCAATTTGCTTTGTATTGAACCTTTGGCCTCGTTTACTTGCCTTTT